CCTAGCCGGTAGCACCGAAGGTTGCATCAAACGATCTAACGATAACTGAGCGGTACCTACAATTTCTCCCAAACCCGGGTTAAACACAAACGGATACTGGTCGCTACCATCGTTTTTACCTGGAAAGCATGCGCGAAACGATCAAGATTAAAACCAACAAAACCGAGATACTGGATCAGATCAAGGCTGGGAATCGGCATGAGCTCCTCTTCGACGATCACGAACCCGTCATGATGATTCTTTTCTTGGGTTAACCACTTCGATTGTCGCAGACAATCTTGATCGGCTCGCATTCACACCCCGGGGAAAGTGCTTCTTAGATAGTATGTTGACGGTAACAATTGTGTCAAACTGGCATCATAAGGAATCGCCTTAGATCAAAAGACTTGCGTAGACACACTTTTGCGGTACTCTCCAAGACACGTTGCCAATGGAGTGTTCAAGTTCTGTGCCTGATTTGTCACGAACGAGCGCACCCTAACTGGTTGCTATGCAACAAAAAGTAAAGTGGTTCCTTTTTCTAAATTTGGTGTATTTCCTTCCCCACGCTGGACACGGTTCGCGGGTGGTCGGGTGTCGCGCAACGCAAAATTTGCGGATATCCTGCTTCACGTTAGTAGCCTTCGCTGCTTCGCTTCCGGAAACTTCACAAACCTATTGGTCAGTTGTCAGCTTCCTTTGTTGTTATTGGTACATAGACAAAGACTCAATGTCGCACACATCGGTGCAGGGTTAGAGCGATACGCTACGTTATCGAAAACGCCGCTTTGTCTTATTTTCTTCACCGATTCCTAGAGCAATCCGATTGCCTGTCAGACTGTCACCCATGCATCAACAGACGTTGCAGGACCGGGCCGAATTCTTTAGCTCAGGGATGTAGGTGTCCTAGCATTCGTGTTGGTCACTGCTTCGCAAAATGGAAAGATAGCGCTGGTAGGTATAATTAGTTTCTTTTTCAAACTATTCACTGAACTTTCTTTGACCGTCTCTAGATCAGTAGCCTTGTGCTTGTCGTAGTGCAATGTCTCCAACACTCGGCGCGCGTCATCCACGGCTGCGTGTGGAAACACGGCCATGGTATGCTATGGTTACTTGGTCAAACTTGCTAGGGTACAGAAATCCATTCACCTGCTGCTTCATAGAAGCTAATTATTAACTAAGTTCCGTTCATCCATGTTCAATGGGTCAGTTATTTGAATGGACGCTGGTGATTCAAACAGAATCCGAGCGCCGCCGGTTGTGTTTGTCCTTTTCTTCTCTGACAACGTGTTGCAGAACTCAGTCCTTCAGAGACTAGAGTTCATTCGACAAAGACAACACGACGAAAATTAAGATGTGTTTGGCAAGCCAAGCACCTCGATATAATTTACACCTTCACGTCCACAACTAACGACTCTTCTGATGCAATGAAGTATTTCCTTTCATTCCGTTAAACAAATGATGACTAACTCACATGAAGTTCGGTCAAGCCCTTTCCAGCAATCAAATCACTTAAACTCGCCTCCTATCGCCTCGCATCACCGAGGAATATAACATTTATTCATTTATTTTATGTACTTATTTACTGACGGCAACTCGATTCACCCGTCCGTTCACTCTGGTATGACACTTTCATCACAGGAACGACCTACACGGACACCGAAATATGTGGCGAATACTCTGCGCCTATATTATGCTGCAACATTGCAGTGCAATCACTTGCCACATAACCTTATGATAATGGTTGTCTCACCTTGAAAATACACTCACATATCATTCACTGCAGAAGCTGTATTAAAGACGCCGTTGCGTATGCATAAGTACAGCTCTCCTGGAGTAGATAAATTTCATGCGACGTCGCTAGCGGCGGTAAGAGTGAGATTAGCCGAACATTTGGCTCGATACTTCCAACTCCGTTATGAGGAAATGTAGGTACCCGACATGCAAAAATCCGAGGTGATTACTCCAGTTCAGAAGGCAGGTGGTCATTCCAAGCCAGCTAACTACCGTCCCAGTTCTTCCAAAGGTCATGGGATCTAGGATATTATTATTGCTGGTACGCTAACGGCCTACTTAGAAGAATTTAACTACGTCGCACCGGAATAGCATAGCTTCCGACGAAATTGATCATGCACTGGGTGGATCCAGCTAAACTGAAGCAGCAGACTTTGGCACATGAGTTGACGTAGTTTTACTCGATATCTCAAAGTCGTCCAACCGGTTAGACCATAACAATACGTTCTTCAACATTTAGATTTAGTATTAGTGATCCGCTCCTAGGATTGATCAGAGGCATTTAACGCTTACTTGGAAGTACGAGTGCGTGAAAACTTCGCAGAACTCTTCCAAGTTAACATCGGAGTGCAACAGTGATCGGTAGTGGAAAGAGACTTATCTTTGACGCATGTTAAGGATATCGCACGACCCATAAGCTCCGACAGCCTGCTTTATGTCGATGACATTATGGTGTAAAGGGCGATATCAAAGTATTCGAGCTGAGCTGCATAGCGTATACGCAAGATCAATCACGAAGTTAATAAGATGCAATATGGACAAATGCAGAGTGCTGTATTTAAGACACAACTTGGTTGACTCCTACAAAAGTGGCAATCAGGAGCTACAAACATCTTGTGGCGAGAAGGATTTGGGAGCATTGGTCCAAACCAATCATGGATGTTCAAATCAGGCTCAAAAGGCATCCAACACGCAAGCTTCCTGAGGCGTGCATGTGGACGTTTTGACCCTTTGGATTTTGCAGTGACTTACAGATCATTGCTACGGGCACATGTGGGATATGCAATACAAGTCTGGCAGTACTGGCTGAGGAGAGATCTCACCGTCTTGGAGATACCACAACGTCGGGAAACCAAGAATGTCAACTGTAGGTAAAAATTTGCTGTAAGAACGAAGAATTTGAGTACTTGGAGTCTTCAGCGGACGGTATAGGCGATTGCGCGGGAAACCCGTGTTGACTTACCAGAATTTGTCTACTCCCAACCACACGTGCGGCTGCTTCCTGAAGCTCAGGCACAAGAGTAACCTGAGATACCACCATCTTAGGTTGAGACAGCAGTACAGTTGTTTGGAATACCGTCGGCATTTCTTTCCCTTACGAGTTCCTCAGAAAGTAAAATGCCCTACCGTAAACTGTTGCATGATCTCACGCTGGCGTTCAAAGCCCGAGTTGAGTGCGCACTCATTTCGCTGCACTACGTTACATGAGTCATTTCCCCTGGACAAGCGCAAGTGTCTGTAAGCGATTTTACTAGAGTCAAATCCAAAATTTCGTTCCACTTCATCACTTTCTGTAGGTGTCCACCAGGAAGAGACACGAATTTTACCATCATCCCATTTGCACTCATTCCTTATGTATGTACCACAGTTTTAGAGCTTATATTACAGATATCTTAGTGAGTTCCCCGGTGTGAGCTCAAATTCGCTGACAATATTTTTTTATTTTGATGCCTCACTATAGTCATCCTACGGGACCTGTTAGGCGTTAGCTTTTTACCCGTATAAATCCATTATCCCATTGAAAGCTCTTACTATTTGAAATGCCATGGCATTTTTTCCTAGTAAGGGTAGTCTGTTATATGAATAATGGTTCAGTACAACATTCACAGCTATCGAATGCAGATGCAATGGCATGAGTATTAATCATATTATGGTTATGATATTTCTACTGTAACTCCTAAATAAATGTGTAGTGTGCTTTAAGCTATTCTGTGATTAGTAGCTTCCCCAAAATTTGAAAGCCCCTATAGTAACTGCAATAGCATAATCAAGCTACAGTCCAAGTGGAACAAGACCTTGATTAAAAGGAATGATACCGTGAATATGAGCGAAGCGAAACATTGGTCCAACAACAAAGATGGTTAGACTTCTTGAACTGTTGACATTGGTGGTGATGGAATAAATGTTGTCTTTAGATGGATCAGTAGCATGGACTTCAGGCTTAGCCCTGTTGTTTATTAGTGCGAATGCCTACAAGCGATAACAATTAGCCTAGGGCCCAATCTTTCCCATGTTTCGTACTTAGACTACGTGCGATACAAGCGGTGAAATTGGTTTTGTGAGAAGTAGTTCCATAGCGATGGCAACAAGGCTTGTCCGTTGGTTATTGTCGGAAATATTGCAACTTTGCCACTGCTGAGTTGGTCAAACGGAACAGTTTCGATTGTGGTTTAATTTCAGTTTTCATTACGGCCGTCTAACAAGCTCCATCACACGTTATTGTGCATCCCTCTTCCGGCAACATCGCCTCAAGTATACGTTTGTCAGCGACTCCAGAAATCATCTGCTAACTGTGCATATAGCAATCCATCTTATTCTAAGGTATGGACGAATAATCGCACTGTCGTACTGCACGAATCAACCGGGTATTGAAATCATTCAATGTCTCATCTATTTCCTAAGGCATGTGGGTGAAAACCTATCCTCCAGTAAACACAATCATTTGGTAACCCCAAGTAAACTGGAAAGCATTGAAAGCGTCCTTGAAAACCCAGGTCATCAAACTTCTGCTTCCTCTCACCCCTGAGCACATTTTGAAGCACATTCAATTTGCTTTTCTCACTAATATCATACAGAAATTGCTGCTTTAATCCAAGTAATCTTGGAAGGATGTTTTTAAACGGAGCCGTACTTTCAATGTTGATCTGCTGCCGTAATCAATTCACGATGGAGATGGGGCTTCAACGAAAAGCTTGATTTTTGTGGTCGAAACGCAATTGTTGTCAGAAAAATGCATATACGGCAAATATACTTTGTATGAGGTAAGAGTCAAAGCAACAACCATTAGAACGATATAGATAATATTTTAATAATCGGCTAATCGATCAATCCTAATTGGGCGAAGTTCAGCCAATTAGAATAAGGTCAAGCTATTCAATCACAACAATGCGGCGAAACGAGTTTTCCGAGTTGCATTCAGTTCGCCTGATACCGACAGCTCGCTTTCATACTTGAGCATGTTCCATCCACACATTCTTGGATATTCGATGGGTCTATCGAAATCAGGCAAAGCACAATTTGTAGAATATCTGAAGGAATCTGTAGCCAGGCGCATCACTGTACACGGTTTTCATGAGGCTGGTCGACATGCTTAATGCGAAACTATCGTCATCGATCAGGACCACTGTCGCGACGTTCGCGTACCCTCTTCTTGGAAAAGTTCGTAGCGCAGTTGTTTGTAGGTTTGTGGAGATCGCCATTTTACTGGGATGTGGTCAGATGTTCCTGAAGGTGATTCATACCACAAGACATATGTAAGAAGGATATGGAACTGCTGGTATACTTGTAACTTCAGATTAATTTCTGAGCATTCAATAAACACATGAGAGCAATAATTTATTCAAACCTCTTCCATACAACGGTTCGGGAAAATTACCCATGTAGCCGGCGAAACTGTTGAATTCACACCATAGATACGTACAAAGCGATAAGCAGGGACGAAATGGTGCGCTCTAACACAAATCTGTTCGTCACTGTCCTAAGCAAAATCTGATTAGGGGCTGACCGTTTGCATGGTGTGAACACCTCGTTTTGTAAGGCCGGTAGACGTTCGAAGATGGCCAACTAGCACACAGTGATTCGCCTTGCCATAGTCACATAGATAATTGGATCGATAGCAGCTTTGACGCAAATGGGTTATATAAATGTTTCTCATATAATAACACCGGATTAACATGGATTCCGTTAGTATTTATTATGTACTACCAATCTACTGATGTCGCGTAGCACTCGAACGGAATGTGTGAATGTCATCTGGTTTAAATTTGCTGAAGCTTTCGACTACTAAGGTCACCGAATCCTTTTCCAATAACTGCAAAACTAGGAAGTGGGAACTCTGTCTTTGGATGGAAGGGAAACTTACTTCCTCAGCGGTGGCTTCAAGTTTAAGTTCGGGCTCATTTTCTGCTCGTACTGGGATAAACTGCGGTGTTCCACAAGGATCAGTGTTAAAGTCAAACCTGTGTTTGATTTTCAGTAACGAACAGTTGTGTGTCATCGCGTCGAATTTCATGCGGTTTTTCGAGGACATAAATATATGGCGCGCGATAGGAAAGCAGAAATATCACGAGTTTATGCAGCGCGACTATCAACTTGCTTTACAAGGGTCCGAGACAAATTTGCTTCCGCGTGACGTGAACAAATGCAAAGCTGCCCGTACGCCGCAAGCACGCTAATATATACCATTTATTATATCTTATATATAATATACCAACATGGTTATAAAATTGAAACTAGATCTTTGAGACAAGTTCACAGAAGCGCAACATTGTGGTTGGAATGCAAGACGACATCGGCTGTTCGGCCCAGTCCATGAAGGCGTTGAAAACCGCGAACCACCATTTTGGTCACTTACGGAGATCATTCGGGCTGTTGGCTGTCTCCATCTTCATGCAACTGTTCAACGTATACGTGAGACTCCCTGTAGAGTACTCCATTCAGGTCCGGAAATACTGACCAAAATGTGATCTGGATGCATTGGAAACTTCACAGTTAGGGACTGCCAAAATGTGAAAAGATTATCCCAACTGGCATGCCAATTGCGACTCAAATCTCCGAAGTGTACCCCATCTACGGGCAAATCCATTAGGATTTAGCACATTTTAATAAACTCCAGTCATGATTGTCGTCATCTACTAAAACCTAGCCACATCACGAAATTGTGGAGTCAAAAGCCAAAGCTGGCCACCCACTATAGTCGGCTCGAATGCCGCAGGAATAACATCCTCGCTTCAAATGTGTCGGTAGTTGAATACTGCTATGAATTTTGTCATGTCTGCGCCCTCGCCACCTATTGAAAATGCTTAACAATGCATTCCGTAATATATATACATATATATATATATATCGATTGACAACAACACGCCACATACGTGGTTCTTACCAACCTCCACGAACTCGGCGTAAACGGAGGTACGCGGGTGTTGGAGTGGATATTATGGTGAATCAATAGATGACTGTTTAAATGTACTGTTACTTGTTCATACAAACCATCTCAAGCGACCTGTCAAGCCTTGATTCTTTCCGTTATTATTCCACTGTTACATTGTACTAACAGCCTATTAGGTTGGATTTGATTTTGAAAAAAGGACACTTGTTTCGCTTGGCAGTCATCACTTAAGATGTAGCAGTCTATCAAGTACATCACTTGCTTTTCTGCGAATGAGTTGAATCTGTTGTATGCCTTCGGCCTAGCGTTTCAACTTCTTCGTTGTCCAGCTTATACAACGGATTGGTCCAAACTTCTGAAGATGTAACACAAAATATACACATCGAACATGATTGGATGCTCATGCCCCTACCAATTAGTAAGAGTCGGAGTTTAGGAAGACAGCGAAGGAACATTGAAGTTGCTGCCATAAGTAGTGACAGGGAGAAAGGAGTGCAAGAGGATGCAAAAATTACAATTGAACTGACATTCACCAATCAGTTACATACAACCTCTTCCGTTAACGGTCATAGACAAGCTACAGCCAGATGATCAAATTTCTTGTTAATTAATCACTTAGTGTGGGTTATTCCTGTCTATTCTAAGCAAGGTACTAACAGTTACCCTACTATTGGTGGTGGGATCTGTGCGTTTTATACGAACTGCGTGTTGTAATACGATGATTGATGGGTTTCTTATGCCAAGTGAAATAAAATACGATGGTCAGGAACCTCAGTGTTGTGGCCACACACATTGGAATTTCACAACGAAAAACAAGTTAAAATGTAAATCTGCGCGCAATCCGCTAACTGCGTTGACATTTGTGAAACTCCAAGCTAGTTGTCCATTTTCGTAGATATTTAGGGGAGGAAAAACTGTTTTTTGCTAGAATTCCTGGAACTGTATAATTGGCTTGATGTAAATTGGTTAAATTCTATTACTGAAGACACTGTTGTTGGTCCTTGTATTACCGAGGGTGAGAAAAAACGAAACGTAAACAAAGAATTCCTTGCCTTTACTTCATCACCAATAGAGAATTCGTTAGTGTTTGGATTTGTGTTGTTTGAAAAAGTGTAACGGTAGATTCTATTACTGCATTGGTACTCTCATATCTGGACGGAAAGAGCGCCTATAAAAGTGTGTTGTTCATCCCATCAAATAAATATGAAGAATACATATCATCTTGTCTCAGAAGGTCGACGCAGTACATTCGACAAATGCGATAGGCATTTACTGCGAAGCCTAAGACTACGGCTTTGCCATGTAAAATGTTTGCCATGCATTACAAAGTCAAATTTGCGCTTTTAGTTTCATTAAGCAATATGGTTAATAGATGGAACACATAAGCAAATATGATCATTTTACAATAAAATGATGTAGCAGGTAAAACCGAGAAGGCTGAGCTCCACCTCATGATCACAGTAATGTGTTACGAATTGACGTTGTCCCCCAGCATTTGCGTTTGCATTTGTTTAAAACCTTGGTAGCATAGCATGTCCGCAGAATCCTAATACACATGCTCTAGTTAAAGCGTGCCGAGTTCTGTGAACTTAGGTAACATATTCACGTTAGCTAAACTAGCCCGTTACAAGCCAGCTACGCAACTCTTCCGCGTTCTGTGTTGGACTAGATTTTACTATCGAGAAATGACGGATATCTCCAGTTCATTTCATCTCAGGTTGTTTCCGCTTGGTAAGCGTTAGCAGCGCTATTTGGCTTATTTACAGTGCAACTATCTATAGGTTTACTTTTGCGATTTTTCATTTAAAACTGCAGCAGTCATACTTTACAAACTGGACAATAACACAGCACCTAAGGCACCTCCTGAATGGCTAAATTCGGTGGTGTGCAGCCTGATGCCTTTGAACATAGTAAGCTTCTACATAGTTGCACATGCGTGTCCAGTTTAGGTCATACTTTAAAGAAAAATCATCAAGATTATTCTGGAAGTGGTGTAACTTGCAAGGCTCTACTTATAAAATTACGCATTACATCAGTAAACTGCGGCTGTTCACCACAATGCCTGTAAGTGAATTTATATGTTGCCATTACCTTTGATAGCTCAGTACGTTTGTAGCTAGTATGGATCAACCACTGTCACCCACCAAATGTTTGATCCGGTCAAACATGTTGCAACTTCATTGCGGAAACGTTACTAGCTTAGGTCGTATTTCCTTACCGGTTAACCTGCGACGTCGCTGTGCAAGGGGCCTATAACTGGATTGCTGCTATATTACAGGCCATCATAACAAACGTACATCAAGGATTACTTTTTATGTGTTATGCGTGTTTGCAACTTATGACTAACCACTATTATAAAAGCTGCATTGCAGAGGCTCCTGTTTAGCTCAGTTTATTGCTCAGTGATAAACGCTCGTGTTTGTTATGATTAGGTAATCTCTTCCACATGTTTCCAAGAATCGTTTTGGTACACTTTTCAAGCAACACAATGTTGCATGAGAAAATGAATTATATTCTCTTATTCAGATAAATACTTCACGCTGACCGTCACAGCTACGCATAGTTATATCTTCCTGGAAAGCAGAGCACTTGTCACTTTATGGCACAAGTACTGGCATCCAGAATTCATGTGGTCTGAACCTGACAGAGGTCCCAGGCAACCTCGATAAGACCCAGGTAGCAACAGCTCTCTGGTGCTTTTCCAGACATGTTGGAGCATGCTAAGAAGCTGCGACGAACTACATCTGGAACTACATTCGAATCCCCACTACTCATTAGTAGTTAGGTAGTTGTATTTTAATTTCACCTGAAGTATGAAACCATGATTATGCGTATAGCGAGGACAACTGGCTGCTAGCAGCGCAGGGGACATTTGAGAGCCTGACGCACTTTACGAGTACTATGTGAAGTAACTTTGCAGTAGGGCTAAAATTGATGTTCCTGACGGTAAACTGAACTAACCGGAACAAACACAACTTCATGTACATGCAATGTGCGTACATTGATGTCTCAGATTTAGCTTTGTAAGTCTTCGAAGAGCACAAATAACTGCCTTGTGGATCTTTTAATGTCGTAAAGTTAATTCCGGAAATGTGATCTCCTTTGCCACTTGACAGCAGAAGCCCATGTAACCTCCTTTTAACGCTACTATCAGGGACCTAGTAAATGCATGACAACAAAATAGCTATTGTGCGATCCGATCCACATATGATAATGACTACGGTATATAAGTCGAATCGCCAAACTGGTGCCTTTGAAATCGGTGCTGCACTAGTTGTACGGGTTTAGAAAAATATCTGTAACGTTGTAGCATATT